GGATACAGCTAGGGACCAGCCAGGGAGCTGATCAGGAGGAGCAGTCTGAATTCTTGGGGAGAAACAGCCACCACTGGGAACCCACTTGGGTTCATTAAAAACATGTCATGCTAGATACATTGCACATTGCACTTAAAAAAAATCAATCAATAATTTATTTAATAAATATTTAGCAGGCATGCCAATGTGCCAAGAATTAACCTAGAGACAAAGGATACAGTTCTAAAGGAGACAGAAAGTCCCTCTACTTAGTGGAAGCTGAAATTCTAGCTGTGGGGTCCCTGAGGGTTCAGGAGAAGACAGACGATAAACAATAAATACACACAGTGATATGTTTTATACAACCTGGAGACTGGACAGCGAGGTGGGTGCTTCAGCTGGGTTGTCAGGGCAGGTGTCCCCAGGGAGAGGCATTTGGAGAACGAGAAGTCACCAGGAGCCTGAGGAGCAGGAGCATTGCACAGGTGGCATCTCTGGCTTGCGGCAAAGCCTTGGGAGAAAGCTCTTCATACGGTATTTACTAAGATGCACAGGGTGCTTGTTCTGTGGCAAACAGTGTGCTGTGCATGCCACGGGCATCTCATTTGATTCTCACAAGCACCCAATAATGGGTGCGTTTTCTCTTGCAGGTGAAGACATTGAGGCTCGGTAAGATTATGACTTGCCCAAGTATGAGAGACCGTGGTGCTGGGAATAGACCCCCTGCCTGGGCTTGTCATCCTGATGCCAATGATGACTCAGGCTGTCTTTTGTAGAAATGTGGGATTGATGACTTGTCACCTCTTGAATGACCGTTTCCAGAGGGTGAAGCCTTTGAGAAGCATTCTGTGGAGGCTCAGAGTTGCCATTCCTGGGTGTCAATGATCTGAATGAGAACTCACGGTTCAGTTCCCTCTCCAGCCACCCTGACCTGGCACTAGCTCTACCAAGTTCCTGGCTACTCCCCTAACATATGGTGTGCTTCCAGGCCTTTGCCTTTGGACAGGTGGGAGGCCTCTCTTGTCTGGAATGGCCCTTGCTTCCTATGACCCAGGTGATGCCCACATCTTCAAGAGTCAGCTGAAATGTCACCTCCTTTAGGAAGTCTTATCTGAATTCTTCCAAATGATGCTATGGTTTCCAATGCACCATGCACATGGGTGGCCCACACAGCTAGTTGTTCCCAAAGCCAACACTCTCCTTATTACTGTTCATCGAGCAACAATTTCAACCAAGTAATGGTGTCTTGAAGCTGCATGTATCCTAACTGATAAAGCAGAACACCCCCCCTTTGTGGTACATTATCACTTTGGATCTATTTCCTTGTCCAGCTCTCCACACTGAAAACTCTTGAGAAGCCTGGTTCTTCTCTTCAAAGAGTTTCCAGTATTTAACATGAAAACCTCCCACACCATGGGTGCCTTGTTCAGTGAATATACAAAAGGGTGGATGGATGGATGGGTACACAGACCGATGGATAGGTGGAAGGATGGATGGATAGATGAATAGATGGATAGAAGGATAAGCCAGCAGATGAACAAGAGATCAGGGGGCAATGTGAGTTACTGTGATCCAATCATTGGGAAACACAAAGAGAGAAGCAGATGGAGTCAAGAGCTGAAGACAGAGCGATGGGACTGAAGCCCCAGGCTTGCAGAGGAGGTAGAAGGAGGGCACAGCTCAGCAGTAAGTGGACATGTGTCGCACTATTGTGGGACCACCACAGACGCCCTGGAGATTAAGATAGCTCCCAAACTGTTTCTGGGATCTGAAGAAAGATGAAATGCAAATGCCTATCAAACAGTCTCAGCAATGTCGAGAGAAGAAATGGGAGGCAGACAGTCCGATTGGGGTTGAGGGTGACTGTTGTCAAGCCTAGTCCAGGGGCCTCCTCATCCCTTCCTATAGTGACCATTGCAAGAAGGGAGGGTCAACTCCCACATATGCCTGGTTGTTCTGACACCCTATAGGTGGCCCAAGCTGCAGGCCCCAAGCCCTTCTCAACTATTTCCAGCTTTCTTTATGTACCTCCCTTCTCAACATCTCTCCCCTGGTTGAGCAGATGCCTTCCCTGTCTCCCACACAGAGGTCATGGCACACCCGTGGACCTTGCAAACAGGTGTGGTGTGGCCTTGGGCACAACAATGGCACTGATACTGGCAGCCTTTTCTCCTCTTTCTTTGTATCACCTCTTGCCCTGGGGGCTGCCACTTGGACTTCTGTTGGGTCCTCTGTTCCAAGTGGCTGCTGCTCAAGGCAGCCTCACTTCCCAGGGGGCAGTGCAGGGCAGTGCCTGGTCTCCCAGAGGAGCTGGGCTTAAGTGCCCCTCGGCTCTACTTGCTGTGAACCTTGACCTTCACCCACCTTTGGGTGTCAGGAGCTCCATCTGTGAAGCGGGCCCATGAAGGCACCCTGAGCCTTACTGTGAGTTGTGTGACAATGGGCATGAGAAGGGCAGGACTGGCTTCACAAGGATGAGACCTCTGCAGGGGGCCACAGTTGGTTTAATATTCTGCTGTCTCATCTCTTGATATTCTTAATAATTCTTTTTTTAATGATTTATTTATTTATGCATACAAGAGCTGGGGTACAGGCTAGAGATGCTGAGGGTGAGAGGATTCACCAGAGACAGAGTGGGGAACAGAGCAGGCAGACTGACTGAAATACACTGCTGAGGGGAGCAGCAGAGGACACAGGAGAGGTCTGCTAAGCTATGTGGGTAGCTCCCTGGCTGGCCGGGGATCGAACTCATGCTGCAGAGGTTGCGGATTGCTTCATAGTGCGGTGCTTAACCCCTTGGGCCACCAGGAAGGCCTGATATTCTTAATAATTCTTAAACAAGGGACCCATATTTTCATTTTGCATTGGGCCCCATAAATTATATAGCTGGTCCTGGAAAGGGTTTTAAACATCAAAATGCACTGTAAACATGTACGCTGGGTTATTTCTGATAATAATAGCAATGCAAATATCCACATTCTGTAAGGGATGTCTATAGGGGCTTTTCTGCAAGTTAGCAATGTCCAGGAACCAGAGGAAGTGTCTCTCATCCATTTCCCCCAAGGGCTTCCTAGCTCCCAACCTTCCTCCCAAGAGACTGTCCTAATTCTGACACCTGCTTTGACCAGCTGTCTGAACTTTAATCAAGTCCTCTCTCCTGTGAACCTACAAAAAGTGGAATTCCGATTGGTCCCTAGATTAATCTTTTCCATGCCCACCCTGCTAGCCTTGCACCTGTTGAAAACCAGCTCCTCTGAGCCTTGCCAATCAGCTCTGCCCCTAGTGGGAGTCGAAGGCATAAAACTCCCTTTCAGGAAGACAGGGTTAGAGGCACGCCACCGCCACCACCTGCTCCTGCAGCCTCTGCTGGTCCTCAGTCTCCTGGAGCATCTTAGCAGCCAGTCCTGGGTGAGGACAGGGCCAACATGAGCAGCTGGCTGGGCAGGAGTGACTCTGTGTCTTGGGGGCTGCTGAGGAGCTGGAGCGGGGTGTGGAGGGAAAATCCTTAGGGTTGGATGTAGCCCTATATAAGAAGGATCCTGTGGATAGCAGTGTGCATACCTGTGCGTCTGTATTAGAGCCTGTCTGCCTGTGTGTGTGCGCGCGCACCTGAGTCAACAGACAGAGTGACTCTATAGGCAAGTGTGTCTGTCTGTACTGGATTCTAGTGTGCGGCACATCTTCTGTGGGTGACTAAATCAAGGTGTGTGTCTGTCACCCTGTATAGGTGTGGGGCAGTGTAGTTGCTGGTGGTGGAGTCCTGAGTATGGAGGCATGGGAAATGGTGTCAGTGTATTTGTCCATGGAGTAGTGAGTCCATGTATGACTGTCTCAGTGTGTGTGTGTGTGTGTGTGTGTGTGTGTGTGTGTGTGTGTGTGTGTACGCGCACGCGCACACACGCACAAGGACCTAAGTGTCACTGCCTACTTTGCATGGGACAGTGATCCAGTGTATCTGACGGTGTTGTGCTGCAAATTGTGTGGCCCCGTGTGTGCATGCCACAGTGTCCCAGGTTGTTTCTGAGTGGAACAGAGCCATGGGTGAGGGGGAGAGAGTATGGGTGTCAGCGTGTTTGTGAAGCAGTGGTTCCAAGTGTTGATGTCAGAGTGTGTGCTCCTGTCCCTGTGTGTCTGTGCCTGATGTGGCAGTGCCCAGTGTGTTTGTGTATATGCCTGTCAGTGGTGAGTGCCAATGCCTTTGCCTAGAATGTGCATTGGGGTGAGGCTGGGTTTGTGTGTGTGTGAGAGTGTGTGCGTGTGTGTATGTGTGTAGAGTGGGTGTCGGCATGTCTGCTCGGCAGTGGCGCGTGCGGCAGGGCCCGGCGCGCTTATCTCCTGCGCCAGGACTGGGTGTGGGCCCCTGTCCTCCAGCCGCGACCCCTCCCGGGGCTGCGGGCAGGAGCAGGGCGGCGCGCACCGGCGCCGCTAGGACCCGGCGGCGGCCGGCCGCTGTCCCCGGGCCGCGCCAGTGAGCATGTGCAGAGCTGGGTGCCCGCTCGCCCGCCGCCCGCCCGCCGCCCGCTCGGCGCCCGCCGCCCGGCTCCGCGTTCGCTCGCTCCGCCGCCGTGGCTCAGCCCGGACGTCCGCGGCCCCAGGGAGCCAGGCGGCTGCGCCGGGTGCCCGGGGCGCGTCGGGACGCTGGCCGCGGGTCACCCGGGGGCGTGCGGGCGCGGAGGGCGCCTGGCTCCGGGCACTGCGGGGCTGCGGGCTCTGCGCCCCGGGGAGCGCGCGCGTGGCTGCTGGTGCGGGCGCCCCAGCCGGCCGCGATCGCCGGTGAGTCCTGTCTCCGGGTCCCCTAGGCAGGACCCCCGCGCGGGCGCGCGCAGGATTTCCCTCGCCGCGGGCGAACAAGTTTGTGTAGATGCGGCCAGGTGCGCGGTGGGGCTGCACTTACTCCGGCTGCGGGGAGGGCTTACGGGGGGCGCTTTTCGTGGGACTGGGGCGGATTTGCCGCGGAAGGGGAGCGCGAGCGTGTGCGCGTGGAGGGGAGCGCTTCAAAATGATCGGGATGGCGCGGGGGTGCGGAAGGCAGTTTCGGAAGCCGCGTCCCCTTTCTAGAATCCGAGGAGACCGTCCTTTTCCCGGGAGGGAGCCGCGGTGGCGACCCGGGGGAGAGGGCGAGGAAAGGATTTTGGGGTGCGCACTGCCTCTCTTAGGAGGAGACGTTTACCCAGAAGCAGCTCCCTCTCGTTCCGCTACCAAGCCAGGCTTCCGGTCAGCGAAGGGTTTTCTCGGTCTCTGAGTGAACTTGAACAGAGGCAAAAACGAAATGTATTTATTTTTCCGGAAAATTACCCCAAATCGAGCTTTGCATTTTCTAGATGTGGACGTGGATGGAGACTCAGGACTGGAGGCTGCTAATTGCGTTTTTCTTTTATACTGAGAAGCCTTGGGGGCTCCCTGCCTCTGGGTAGCCTCTCTCTTTGCCTTGTTTTTTTTTTTTTTTTGTTTGTTTGTTTGTTTGTTTTTTGGGTTTTGTTTTTCCTCTCCCCCTGAGCCTCAGCACCTGCTAGATGTTAACTTGCTCAAGGGGAGGCAGGGCTGGAGAGGGGGACCTCTGTCCTTCTGTTGAGTAGGGGGAACGCGGTGTACCCTGGGATCCAGCTGCTGCCCACATTCGCTGGTGACCGGCTGCTCCCAAGATGGACAGACTTGGGATGGCACTGTACTTTTCCTATATTAGATGCCTTCATCCTCTTGTCACGGGAACAGCGTAATGTCTTTTATTGGAGCGCTGGGTTGTCCCAAGTTGGGAAACCACGGCTGGGATCAGGAGATGGAGGACTTTTCTTTTCAAACCTCTGAATTGCGAGGTGACCAAGCTAGATGTGAGAGGACTGGTGGGGAGTGAAGTGCTTAGCGCAGGGGAAAGCTGGTTTCCCCACCCTGTCTGCAGCAGCCCCTACCTGATGGCTACAAATTCTGGAGGGCGGCAAGGGGGGCCCTCTTCCCCAATCCCAAACATTAGCTTGGCCCTCACACATGGCTTGTAAAAGGTGCCCCCTGGGTCCCCGGAGCTCTGCAGAGGAGCAGCTGTGTTGGTCTGTGAGCAGGTGTGTTGTTCTACAAAGGAAGCTTGGCCAGCAGTGGGACTGGTGGGCAGAGCCTGGCAGCTCATCTTTCCCAGGAGACGCCCTCTGGCCCCCACCTGTGGCTACATCCCCCTGGCCTCACATCAGCACCATTTCCACAGCTCCTCTGGAAGAATGCCTCTTTTTAGAGGCTGTTAGAGCCCTGTGGGGTGCTGTCCTCTGACCTGCAGCGTATCTAGCTGAAAATAAAGAAAACCTGAATTAGGCAGAAGACCAGACTCCTGTCCCTTCCTTCCTGTCAGCCTAACCAGGCAGAAGTAGATTGTGTCCACTAGTTGGTCCACAGCTGAAGCCTGAGTCTCCTGCCAGGTCACTGCAGACTGAGCACTGGGGAGTGAGTCCAAACTGGTTCATGTAGAGTCAGCCTGAAGAGGCAGCAGAGAGCCTCAGGGCCCCATAGAATAGAATCTGAGCAGAGCCTCTTGGGAAGGGATGTTTCTTTTTGTAGATACTCCCAGCTTGCATTCCCATTTGGCCCAGACCCAGTTCAGCCTTGATAAGATCAGCTCTCCCTACTCTCCTTCTGGGCTGTGCTGAGGTCAAGGCCAAGGACTTTGGGGTGGCTTAGTGTCTAGACTTTTTTCTTCTGTAAGGTGATCACACCCACCAGCAGGGCAAGGCTGGGCTGGAAACAGGCCCTGTTCCTGTGGGGCGTGAGTGCGTGAACATGGCCTTTAACTTCCTTCTCCCCAGGCCTCACGGGCCTGTTTCCACACTGCTTCTTCTAATCTCTCCTCACTGTGGCTTTAATAATCGCCATGTTGACATTTCATCTACAAAATTATCGGAAATATGCAGCTTTTGGAGAATGTGGTTAGGGAGGAACTCTGCCTCCCAGTATAGATGTGAGAAATAGATGGAAGAATAGGCTGGATTAATTTTGTAAGCTATAAAATGCAGTGCCTATGGGTATTTGTGACAGCCTCTCCCCGCCACCTTGCTTCTCTTTCTGCTGCTGGAAACCCTTGAGGATGTGAGCCCTTTCTGGTGGCTTGGCATGAGCGAGCCAGGAGGATTCTGAAACAGGAATACCTAAGGGGTCTTGCGCCCCCACCCATGGCATGAAACCCCCACCCCAGTGACTGCAGGCACAGCGTGCAGAGAGCCAGACTTGCCCAGATTTATTCAAATCACTCAGAGGGATTTGGACAACCCTCAAGGATCTACCACTGAGTAGCAGAAACATGTGAACAAATGAACAAAATAAGGTTCTATATAAAAGAGGTGGCCAGAGGATGCCCGCGAGAGTCATGACTGGCCGCTTAAAGAGTAGGTTGGACTCCAGATGAACAGTCAAGAGGGAAACACCAGGCCCTGGGATGGTGTCCTCTCTTTCTTTGCAGCCCAGCATCTAGCTGGGTGCCTGGAACAACCTCTACCCAAGGTGCTGAAAATGAAGGCCATGTGATCTGATAGCTGACATCACAAACTTGGAATCAGAAAGCTGGAGTTTGGTCTAACAATAGCTGTCTTCCTTCAAATTAATAGTCCCTCCCCTGAAACACATTCTGCATCTGTATAATGGGATGGTAATGATCTTGCCCCCATTAGTTTATGGGAAAACCACTCATTCGTTTGTTCATCTGCTCATTCATTCAGCACACATGATAGTGTGTGGTACATAAAAATTTATTCTTATTTATCTGAATTTCAGCAGTGGATTTGATGGATTTCCCCACCCCACTCATTTGCATTGAATGAAGTTTTGACTTTGTTATTATATTTTATAGCATTTTAGCCATGTTTCTAATTTGGAAATTTTTCTCTGAAGTTCTGAAGTTCAAAGGTAGGGACCCTACCTAATTTCTATTTTCCAGACCTTGTCCCACCCAGGGGCCCAGTGTTTAGTGGGACCTTTGCTCTCTTTCAGACTCTTGTGATATGGGTTTCTGATATGAGGGCATCATGGCATTGGAGGGTGACCAGTGAGCACAGCTTTCCTGGGGGGCAGGGTAGCAGGGAGCCCTGACTCATCAGGATCACCCAGACACAAGTCACAGTGCAGCTAACCTCCTCGCCTAGTGCTACAGAGCCACTCTGCTCCCGGCACTGGGAGGACTTCATGGAAGAGGTGGCTTAAGCTGAGCCTTGATGGCCTCCAAGCATTTCATGCCTGTGCCACAAGATGGGGCACAGGCATCCCTGCAAATGGTGGAAAAGCATGTGTGGGGACATGAAGCATCTGATGCTGGCCTGGGAACACTCCCTTTGAGACTTAGCATTCTAGAAGGAATAGTGAAAGGAAGGTGTGGGGAGATGTACTAACAAGGGCTTTTGAAAGCTAGTCTGAGGCACTTGAACTTGGCTACTGAGTTCTGGAGAGCCATTGCAGGCTGCAACATCATTCATTCTTGGTGGCAGTGAGATCCCTCTCTAAACATGCTGGGAGGGAGGGGATAGGTTCCAGAGGACAGGTGACAGGTGCTGAGCCTGATGGGGGAGAGGCGGGGGTTGGAGGGGCAGGAAAAGACAGGGAAGGGATATTCAGAATTAGATCCCTTGCCGCTTCATCATTGAGGTCCCAGGCCGAGAACCACCAGCTGCCAGTCACTGAGACTGGAGCTCTACGCTGCTGGCATCAAGAGTGCCCATTCTAGTCTGAGAGCCACCTGCTGGGCCCCTGTTCCTTTGTTTTCAGGGTTCTTACCCCACTGAGAATGCACAGCTTTGAATCCCAAAAGAGTCACAGCTCTGGCTGTGATGACCAAGTAGCTGAGATGCTTCGGGGGTGTTTGCAGTCATTTCCGCCTTATCTGTCATTGCCTGTCCTCTCTAAACTGGGTGGGGCTGGTGGGGAAGCAGAACCAGATGACTGAATCCCAGTGGCCACTGGTCAGGCCTGGGCCACTTTGAACTCTTTCTCCAACCCTAAGGCCCCAAGGACATCCTCTCCCCTCCCCTCTCCTGCTGCTGCCACACTCACATGCTCAGTCCCTTGGCCCCCCAGCCTAGCTGAGAGGTAAGTGCCATCTGTCCAGCCCTCCCCCTGTTCAGGATCAGCAGCTGCTGCCTGGGGGGCCAGATGGCAACAGAGTCACAGACTGAGGCTCAGGTTTTCTGAGTTCCCACCTGTGCTGGGCTCCTGATTCCTCCCTGAGGCCCTAGTAGCCCCTCTGTCCTCCTTTTCCTCTCCTTCCTGGGAGGGAGCTCAGGGTTTCCCTCTCCAAACACTCCTCTGTTCTGGAGTGATGCTTTGGCCTCTAGAAGGCTGCTGGGCATGGACACCTTTGGCGGGTGTTCACCTTTGTCCAGCTTGAGGCTCCATGCTCAGCCCTGGCAGCCCTCATGACAAAATCCAAACCTCAGGAAGGATGGAGCCCTCATCATCCCCCTGCTCCCCACAAGCACTTTGCATTGTCCAAAATGGGAGGTGCCATGTGGGCATCAAGTCTTGGGGAAAGTGACCCGTATTTACCAAGGAGGTAAGGGCCCCCAGGAGGCCAGAACTTACCCCATGGCAGTGAGGGGAACTCTGGCTCCTGGGCACTCCTGTGCAGCAACATTCTGGGAGCTCCCGCCCGGCATGTTTCAGGTAGGTGCTGACACAGGCGCACCAAGCTCCTCTCAAGGATAAGTCTTGCCCTCCATGGAACTGGCACTAGTACGGGAAGAGAGGTACAGGCAGCTTTGTGGGCCCCAGGGGAGCTCTGGAGCGGCGGGCCTGGGTCTGCATGCTGACCCTAGTTTTCTGACCAGCCGAGCCTCAGAGACCTTGCTCCTCTGGGATGGGGTGGAGTAAATGAGATGGTACTGGTAAAGCACACAACCCAACCTAGCCCATTAATGCAGCAAGTACTTAATGAACGGGGCCATTGCAAATTAAAGCAGTTGTTAGCAGCCATTTCAGCATCCATCAGCTTCAAACTAGAAAGGAGGTGAGGCCCTCCCTAGAGAGTGGGGGCTAAGAGAAGGTGAGGGAGCCGCTTGAGAGACTTCCCCTTTGGCACAGCTGCTACAGGCCTCTCCTCTAACATTTCCTTGTTTGCCTCTTTTGCATCCATGACCAGTGCTTGCCACAGTCTGCAGGTAACAGAGGTTTAAGTCTCTGATTCATTCCCACAGCAATGCTGATTGCTTCCCATTTAACAGGCGAGGACCCTGAGACTTTGCCCCTGTGCAGTGTTTTGCCCAAGGTGGACTTGCTATATTGAAGGGCCTCCTGACTGAGGCTGCCGGTGGGGACAGCTGAAGGAATGCCAGGCCCTGTGCAAACAGGCAATGGCTCGATGTCCCCCAGGTGATGGCCAGTTCTGTCCAACTGACCTCATGGTTTGACTGTGAGATCAGCCCACCTCTCAGCCTCTGTCAGATTCAGTCACACAAACATTTACTGTCACTGCCCCATGGACTGCACCTGGGATCTGGAGGTACGGCTGTAAGTCAGGTACAATCTGTGCCCAGGAGTGGCTGCCAGCCTCGAGAGGTGAGCATGGTAGAAAGCTGGGGGACAATTGACAAAATATATGCACAATTTGGCCAGCAGGCCCCTCCATCCCCACCCATCATCCAGCCTATGACAGGTGTTCTGGGCTGGGAATCAGCTTTGCGATGTTAAATGTTTGGCGTGGCAGCCTGTCTTACAGGAGGCCTGGGTCCTGGCAGTCTGGCCTGGAGGTAAGGGCTGTCACCTGCTTCCACACCCAGTGCTCACCTCCTGGGACCTGGGGAGGCCCCTTGGTAGGAGGTGCTCCAGAGAAGAGTTTGGAGGTCTTGGGGAACCGGGGTGTGAGAAACCAAATCCTGGTTGCTTAGCCCTGATGATCCCCACCCCCCTGCATCCCATCCATCCCTACTTGCAACTTTTTTCCAAGTCCCATGTATAAAATGTGTGGGATTCACACACATCTTGCCTTCAAAATTCTTCAATCCATTGCTCACCTTTCTGCTCTGTCTCATCAGAACCTATCTCTCCATAGCAGAAGTCCTTCCTGCTCCCCTTTAATTTTAGTAGTAGAGGATTTTTCACAGATAGAATCCCAATTGTGAAAACAGAAGCCCTTTGTGGGCAGATCTGGAATCATTCCCCTTCACATAAGTACAACTCAGAAAGGGTAGCATCTAAGCTTCAGGAGACCTTGTCAATTTCCATGTGTCTAAAAGACCTCAACTTGGTTAAACTACATCCTTGTGCTCATGCATTGCTCTACTTCCAAGTTTTGGGCTAAGCTCCCACAAGTCTGGATAAATAGAACTTGAGATTTCATTGCCCTAAGACCCATAGGAGAAGGTTTCTGATGCCAGGATTCACCCATCAATTTGCCCTCTTATTCATAGAATACATTCAGAAGCAAAGATGGCTGAGCATACACCCAGAGGTGTCGGGCTGGGGGCTGCAACTAGGAAAATTAATAGGGTATGATTGCTAAGTCAGTCACAGTCCTGTGAGGATGATTGATAAGTAGATGAACAAATCATCCTTGCACCAAGTACTGGGACAAGGGTCAACATGGGCTGTGGGAAGTCAGAGGACTCTATATCAGTGTGTGTGGGTGGTAGTCAGGGAAAGCTTCTTGGAGGAGGTAACACCTGGGCTGAGCCTTGCAGATAGGCAGGGATTCACCAGACAGAGGAAGGAAAAGATGTAAAAGGCTGTGGGGCAAAGGCACCAAAGCAGATAGATGCGTGCGTGTGTGCTGGGGAAGCCTGGCAAGACTGAGGTTGGATGGGCTGGATCTTGAAGGGGCCTAGCATGTCGTGCTAAGGAGCTTGGAGCTTATCCCAAAAGCCACGGGGTGCTATTGAAAGGGGTTTTAAGCAGGAGAGCGCCATGATCAGATTTGCGTGTTAGGGAGATCACCCTGGCAGCCTCGTAGAGGATGGATTGGAGGGGCCAAAGCTGGAAGCAGGGAGATCAGTCAGGATTTCTTAGGATTTTCACTGTGGTTTTTCAAATCTGGCGATGCTGGCTGGGGTGGGCTTGGCACGCACCAGCTTAGAGCGAAGATAAAAGCTCTGGAGACTCATCTGAAATAGCTTCCCGACTCAGTTTAATTCCACCTTCCGTTGCTGATTAACCAGCCTGCCATCCCCACCCCAGGCTCAAGCACTTGCCGACCCATATTCCCAGAACCTTGACCTCCCCGGTAACCTCAGAACCTGGCAGCCCTTAGTCTTGAATCAGAGGGTCAGGCTGGTCTGGGCCCCTTTGGATCTCTGTCCCTAGAGTGCCATGCCACCAGAGCCCAAACATTGTCTTTCCTCTCACACCCGGCCAGCCGGCTGGCCCTGTGCACAGAGCAGCCATTGAGGGGCTGTGCAGCCTGGCGGGGGTCCCAGGGCACATTAGTTATGGGCAGTGGCTTAGTCACGCTTCTAGGAGCCTTTCTTCCTGGGACAAGCCTGTCCTTGTGCTAAGGGCAGTACTCACACAGCAGCCCTGCGCCCGGCAGCTGCAGAAACCTCTGCCAATCCTTCACAATACACTTCAGAGGCACCGCCAATGAGAACCAAGCCCAGCAGGAGAGATGAGTCCTGGGAGTGGGGGAGCAGGACTGAGGGAACAGAGAGCCCTCCTGCCTGCCCACGCCAGGTGCATGGCCTCTGTGCAGGTACGTGGCTCTGGTGCTCGCCTGCTCCCTGAGGCCCTGTCCGCCAGCCCGACCCTCTCCAGGACCCTCTCCTGTGTTAGAGCCCACCAATCTCAACTGAAGCAATTTCTAAAACATAGCTAGCAGGTTGTGTGCATGTATTAAGCACCTGCTGTATACTCATGCCCTGAGCTGGAAGCACTCAATTATGCTGTGTTCTCCTTATAGGCTGGCCCATGTAGTAGTTTCAAACCTCAGCTCCTCTGTTAGCTGTGTGACCTGGGATCGTGCCATTGCCTCCTTGTGCCATGGTTTGCTCATCTGTAAAATGGGGATGTTACAGCGTCTCCCTCACTGGATTGGTGTGAGGATTAGATGAAAGATTGCTTAGAACATTTAGCCCATACCTATTGCTGCCATTTTGGGCATTTTATAGATGAAGCATCTGAGGCCCATGCCAGGTTAAGTGACTCAATGGATGTCACGCAACTAGTGACAGAGCTGGGATTTGAACCCAGTTTTCTGTCAAGTGGTCCTGAACACAGCTGCCCCTTTGATACAGAGTCCAGGAGAGTGGGGCTCTTGACCCTGGAGTGGCGGGTGTGGCAGCCCCTCCTCTTGCATCTAAGTGTTCTTTCTCTGCTCTGCAGATTTCTGATCCAGAAGATGAGGGTCAGTATTGTTCAGGAATGGTGAAGTGTGTGCCACCAGGACAGAAGCTACAGCCACGTGAGTGATCAGTGATGGTGCCAGTCGAGCACCTGTCGGGGCAGGAACAGTAACCCCAGGAGAGCTCGGGCCAGAGCGGGAGCCAGGATGCGGAGATGATGCCTCTGGAGGCCCTGGCCTCCTTCCCACCTGGGTGCTAGGAGCCGTCCCCGGGCTCCAGCCAGGAGCCCTGCTGCCCAGGGGCATGGCCAAACCTTTCTTCCGACTCCAGAAGTTTCTCCGCAGAACACAGTTCCTACTCTTCTTCCTCACGGCCGCCTACTTGATGACAGGCAGCCTGCTGCTGCTGCAGCGGGCCCGAGTGGCCCTCCCGCAGGGCCCACGGGCGCCCGGCCCCCTGCAGGCCTTACCTGTGGCCGCCATGGCGCTGGGGGTGGGCCTTCTGGACAGCAGAGCCCTGCACAACCCCCATGTTAGCCCAGAGCTCCTGCTTGGCGTGGACATGCTGCGGAGCCCCCTGACCCGGACCCGGTCTGGACCCCGCTGGCTCCGGAGCCGCAACTCGGAGCTGCGTCAGCTGCGGCGCCACTGGTTCCACCACTTCACCGGTGATCCCCAGGGACCGCCCGCCCTGGGCCCAGAGGCCCCCAGGACAGCCGCCAGCAGCCGAGGTAGGTGTTCAGCATGTTTGACAGCTGCTCCCAGGAGCCCGACTCGCAGCCTTGGGATTGGTGTCCCCTTTCTCTGGTCCTCCCCATCACCTGAGAAGTGGGCTCTGCAGACCCAGGGCGTCCCTGCGTGTCCCTCCTCTGGCACGTCCCTCCCGCTCTGCAGGAGACTGGCAAGGGCTGGGATGTAAAGTCCTTTGGAATTTTGCTCACTCAACAGCTGGAACCCGACGGGGCTCAAGCCGAGGTGTGTGAGCAGCTCTCCTGGAGCTTCGGCTTTGGGTTCACAAAGGGTTCTCACCTGGAATCTTAGCTCAGGACACAGCAAGCCACAAACTTACTGGGTGACCTAGGACTTGTCACTTTACCTCTCTCGGTCACTCTGAAAGGGAGATAGAAATACCAACCCGGGGTAGCAGTGAAGATTAAATGTGATGATGTAGAGCAAGGCTTCTAGAAGTGGGGTCCCAACCTGCAGCATCAGCACCACATGGGGCCAGTCATAGATGCAGAGCCTCAGGTTCTTTCAGACTGGAACCAGATCCTGAACTTTGGGGCAGGGGCCAGCAATCTGCTAGCAACAGTCTCCCCAGGTGACCCTGAATCATGTGTGAGCTGAGAATCCCCAAACTAGAGGGCCCAGTGTATTATTTAGTGCCCAGTAACTGGTAGCTATTACTATTACACAAGAATAGCTAACTCATACAGTTTACTATGCACACTGTGAATGTACTGTTCACAATACTATTATTATTGTAGCCTAGTTTTACAGGTGAAGAAATTGAGGCATGGAGAAATTAAATTCCCCAGGCCATTTCTTGTTTTTGCTTCTTTGGAAGCAAACCCTGAAATCAAGGCTGAAAAGAAGATACCAGGAACACTGGTAGGGAGTGGGAGCCTGAGAAGGAAAGAGAAGGCAGCCAATAAAGGGAGCTGGATTCAGAGTAAGGGTAGAACACACATCTTGGGGTTCATGTTGCACAAAGCAAGGCCCTGGGGGCATGATGGGGTACTGACCAGAGCTGCCATAGCCACATTGCTGGGTCTGGGCTTTCTACTGGGTCTTACAGATCTGTGCAGGGCCCAGTACTGAGCCTGAGCAGACGAGCCCCCAGAGTGCCGTGCTGTTGTGAGGTGGTGGGTGAGCTCAGTCACTGTCTCAGCATCCCTGTTACCATCTTGTCTGGTCCTGTACCTTAACTCACAGTGAAACTGCTCTTTTGCTGTCAGAAGTGTGGTTGGTACACTCGGTGGCAGGATATGGACAGAGAAGAAGTAAGAGCTTCTGCAGGCTTGGGTCAAAGAGGGATAGGAGTGTCAGGCCTAGGAAGACGAGAAGGTTCCAGGCAGAGAAAGGAGCCCAAGCTGCCCCTGCCACAAAAGGCCTGGTAAAATGGGCTGGAAGACTGTCCACTTTTGTCTCCATGAAATCAAGGTTCACACCCTTGCTGTGGGGTTCCTCAGCAAGGCTTCTGCGTCAGAAGTAGGAGGGAAATGAGGAGCTGATTCTGCTGCTCAGTTCACATGGGTATGATTTCTGTAAACTCTCCAACACAGCCACAAAGTGGTTTTCTTTTAAAGATTTATTTTTATTTATTTATGCATACAAGAACCTGGGTGTAGGCCAAAGGTGCAGGCGGGGAGGATGAGAGGACTCACAGAGACAGAGTGCGGAGCCGAACAGGCGGATCTACTGAAATACACTGCTGAGGGGAGCAGCAGGTGAGACAGGAGAGGTCTGCTACACCATGTGGGTAGCTCCCTTGCCTGGGGATCGAACTCCTGCCGTAGGGGCTGATAGGGCCACTTGATAGCTTGATAGGGCTGAGACTTTAACCCCTGTGCCACCAGGGAGGCCCCACAAGGTGGTTTTCTGTGCAGATTATGTTGGTGCAACTCCAGTAGACTGAAGTATAAATGACTGACAAAAGTCAGCATGGATTTCTTGAGAGGAATCCACAGAAAGAGCACAAGTGTGAGAAACACACCCGGGTTCCCATCTTAGTAGCTCTAGAAGTTGGCTCTTGTGATCTTGCACAAGTTAGTTGTGATTCCTTCCTTTATTTCTCTCTCTGTGTGTGGAATCGAGGATCTATGTGTCAGTCACGTGTGTATAAGGAACTCAGTCTGGGGGCAGGACCAATACACCCCTGATGTTCATTACTCAGTAAGACAGGCTTGGCGCAATCTCTTGCTCCAGGCTTTGGGTCCTTAGACACCAGCACCTCGTTCTCTGGAACCCGACTTCGGGACAAGGCTCGATGTAATACCCGTGAGTAATGTGCAGGAGACCCAGTGGCTCCCAGCATTTCACTTTAAGTCCTCTCTGGTGACTGCAAGAAATGGTGGAGAGCATACCGCTGAGAGCTGAAAACTCTAGTAAGATGTGAGCGGGAAACACGTCAACCATCGTGCTCCAGCATGGGTATCAGTTGTTTAAAACGTTGGCGAGGCAACTGCCCTGAGTCCTCTACACTCTGGCTGCCCTCCATCGTGGACCCGCCCAAACTCCACATCACCCAGCAAGTGAAGAGTTAATGCCCTGCACAGCCAGAGCTTCAGGATCCAGTGTTGAATGGTGGCATCCTGGGTGTCCCCATGCATTATTCACTGTTTTGAATCTCCCCAAGTATTTAAGGAAAATCTTCCAGTCTGGGACGAGCTCTGGTGTCACACGGCTGGAGTTCCTCAGAGGACAGAGGGAAGCGGGACACTGGCCTGAGAATCCATGAGTCCCCTCACCTCTGGGGCTCCTGGGCCCTTTCCATCCAGGTGGGCCTCACTGGAGGAGAGTAGCTGGCAGGCCAACCCCTGGGACAGCTGCTAGGGCTGCAGACAAAGAGGGTGTCTCTTTGCGGGCCCGGGCAGCCCGCCATCCTCCTGAAAGGGGATCCTGCAACCGTGGAAACTGCAGGAGGCTCCATCAATCACCGAGCATTTCATTATACCTTGGACAACATCCATAATGGAATAAAATGTCAGTAAGTTTACTAGGGGAAAAATAGTAACTTCTCCATAGCCAGTTTGTTTTTTATTGATAGTAATTTCCAAAGACATTCCAATATCTCCAAAGCCATCGCTAATAGCCTCACGGCATGTCCATTTTGATGTGCAAATGAACAGATGCGAGTCACAGACAATAATGCATGGCCTCCATTTCAGCTGAAAGTAATAAATCCGCCTCAGAAAGCATCCCAGTGTCTCCCTCGGAAGTCCTTTCTTTTCTGCACATTCTCGCCTCTGTCAGGGAGTTAGAAAAGCCATTCGTTATCTAGGGGATAAAGGGCTCACCTCCTTCTTGCAAGCGGAGGGGGCGCCATCTGCATCTCCGGCCCTGGCTACACCAACTGAGTGGGGGCCAGCCAGGCCTGTGCTTCCCTTCGGCTGGTCAGTTCCATCAAGCGGCCTGCTGGTAACTGGCCACTCCTTGTTTTCCAAAGACCCAGAGGCTGACTGTTAGAGACCTTTCCCTTCTCTCTTTTATTAATGTGTTAATTATCCAGCTAATATTTACTGATCCATCGTCACACGAGGTCCCAGGTTAGCTGTGGCATCAGAATAATAATAGCTGTTACTTACAGAGACATCTATCATGTGCCAAGCATTGTCCTGCATGGAGGCACATCTGTTGTTTCCCTTCATTCCATCTTCCAGCGGCCTTGTGATGTAAGTGCTGCCATCGCTATTTTAATGATGAAGAATTTGTGTCTCGGGCGAGTATGGTAATCTAAATATGTTTATTAGTAATAATGATGCATTAACCATAAAAGCTGTCACCACTGAACACTCAACTATTGACTTGCATAGGACACTTTATACCTGTGAGCTCCTAGAATTCTCCCCAGGACAGCCCTCTGAATTTCACCTTGCAGATGGGGAAGTTGAGGCTTGGGGAGGTGAGGCTGCATCCGCAGGTCCCACGACCACGTGGTAGTGGAGCCTGGACTTGAATCTAAGTCAGCTGCTTCCCGAAGGCTGCTCCCTAGACATGACACCTGCCGGTCTCAGCCTTCGAGGGTCCTGAGCCAGGCAATTTTAGAGCCTTGCGGTTAATTTCCCATCAACACTGATAAATGTTTAACAATCCCTGAGCTTGTGTTTTAGATGTTTAATTGAAAACTGTAATAGAATTTCTTCTTTGTTGAGCAACACATCAGAAAATTCTCAAATATTAGTTTTCATTTACTAAGTAGGCAGACGGAGAACAATTTATTCTCGCGGACCTGGGGAAGCCTTGCAGCAGCGCTCCAGCCGGTGTCCGCAGCCCTAAGCCTTCCACTCAGAGAGAAGGAAGCTCGCAGCCCGGCGGTCCGGGCAGGGGTCCTCAGTAGAGGGGGTGGCACGTGCCCACCGATGGACAACAGGGTCCAGTCAGGGGTGTGCTGATGGGTACCCCCAACATGAAGGTGACCTTGAGCAGTTCGTTGCCTGGAAGGGGGAGACCTTTAGGCAGACATTCAACAAGGTGGCCCGCTGCAGCCCTGGTGTTCTCCAGCCTGAGAGCCCCAGGTCCTTTGACCCTACCTGGCCTGGCTCCCGCCATCTTGGTCTCCTCCCCCTGCTTTCCCTTCTTAAATGAGGGCCTTGAGAATGCACCCTGGTGTGGTCTGTGGGGCTGTACCCCTCCCAGCATCTGGGCTCTCTGCTCCCCCTCAGGACCCTTAGAAGACAGCAGTATGGGTTTAACAGCTGTCACCACCATTGCCAAGTAGGTGTTGATGTCGACATTGTGTGTGACCCCAGTGAGTCCCTGGGGGTCACAGCTTTGTGAAGGGGTGGCCCTGCCTTCAGAGGGCCTCAAGTTGTGTTGCAGAGACAGGGCACATAGCACACAGGCATAAAGGCTTTTAACAAGTTAATGACAAGGATTTGGCTGATGGCAAGTTTTCTAGATACAAAATCAAAAGAACCTAGAGAAAGGAGAGGTTGTAGGGGCTTGGTGTGGTCAGGGATATAAACTGTCAAGGACACATAGGAAGCAGAAGATGGATGTGAGGGAGGGAGCAGGGACAGGTCCAAATGTGGGTGGAGAAATCAGCATGGGCGGGGTGAGGCTGGTGGGCATTTATCCATTTCACACATGTGAAAACCAAGGAGCAGAATGTTGAAGTGATTTAGACAAGGGCAGACCTGGATGTTACTCCTCGCCCCAAGGCATGTGGGGCCTCAGACTGTTGAGAGGCCTTGGTGTATTCCTTCTCGGAGCCAACCTAAAGTCCAGAGGCAGGATGCCGCGGATGCGGTTTTTGGAGACGTGTGCAGCACTTTGTCCTGATGCCCCACCACAGTTATGGTGGGCGTGCATCATGGCTTGGGACCCTGTGATGCCATGTTTGCAAACTCACAATGCTATTCCCCCAAAATCTGGTGCACAAATATCTGGTGCACATGACATTTACTCCCCGTACATATTTGCTTTGTGCTTGCATTGTTCTTCAGACTCCTAGGTGCATCCCTGGGAGACACCGCCCTGCCTTGGAGTGGCAGGGCAAGGCTGTCACAGATGCCCACAGCCATGCTCATGGTTAGTCAGCACTGTTGCTGCTTCCTAGAGTCCTTGGGGTCCACTGCCAGGTATATGCCAGAGAGGTCCCAACAAGTGACAGCTCAGCAGTCCCTTGTCCTGTTGCCTCCCACACAGGACATTTGTGACACTCCAACAGATGCTGCTTACACACCCCTTACTCCCTTCTAGGATGGCAGATTTTTCCTTGAAATAGGTCTGTCTGTGTCCAGGATCATCTTTACATTGGCAGCAGTCAGTCTTTCCTTAACTAATTTCTTGCCTTGGGTCACAAGGAGGTGACAGTCAGGACATCTGTGGAGGCAGAGGCCTCTTCAAGCCTGGGAAGGGGTGTAATGGAAAGGAGAGGGGTGCAGGGGAGGCCATTCAGCCAACCAGACTTGGGGATTTGGGGGTGGTGGGAGAACATGTATTCGGGCAGTTGCCAGTCTACTGCCCTGCCAGTGCATCTGCCTGCGGGCCTCTACCTAAGAAAAGGGCAGAAAGGGAGCAGGTGAAGCATCCAGAAACGCTGCAGGGAAGGTTTGGCTGTAGCCTCTGCCCCAGGGCCCTCTGATAGGGGCCTTGACCTTTTCTCAGAGTGGGCCCACACTTAGAGTCCCTCCCTCTCTGTCCGTGCCTCTGAGTCTCCACTGTGCTTCCCGCCCTGCAGGCACCTACCTCGGATGCTTCAGTGACGATGGCCGGGAGAGGACTCTGAGGGCCACTGTTTTCTATGACCTGAGAAAGATGACCGTGTCCCACTGCCTGGATGCCTGTGCTGAGCGGTAAGTATGGGCCCCCGACTGCCAACTCCCCTGGAAATAAAGGCAAGAGGCAGTCCCAGGATGGATGGTGCTTGACGGCCAGTTGGCTGTAATCTTTACCCTGGATGGCACCTTCGGGGATAAAGCGCAGGACGACCTGAGACCGGTGGGGCTGGTTAAATTAGTTCATCGCTGAGGAAAAACTGTTTCCTAAGTGTAGCCAGATGACCCTTTAGTCTGACTTAGCCCTGACCCCCCCAAGCCAGCTATGTGTTGATGGCTGTGGCCCCTGCCTCTGCCCACAACTGACCTCAGCTTCAATCCTGACCCTCATCCTGGCCCAGAACCACCTGCCCTGCCTTGATCCAGACCTCAGGACTAGTAGGACCCCAGCCCTAACTCTGGGCCAAGGTGGGGACTCACCCCAGACCCCGCTCTCCCCGCAGGTCCTACCTCTATGCTGGCTTGGAGGCCGGTGCTGAGTGCTACTGCGGGAACCGACTCCCGGTGATGAGCGTCGGGCCACAGGAGTGTAACCAGGAGTGCAAAGGGGAGAAGGGCTCCTTGTGTGGGGGAGTGAGCCGGCTCTCTGTGTACCGCGTGGAGGAGCTGCAGCCGGGCTCCAGGCAGCGTGAGTGTGCCAGCCTCTCCAGGAGCTGTCTGTTCCCTGCTCCCCAACTGCCCTCTCCCCACGGCTTCTCGCCCAAACTGCATGGAAGAGAACCTGTGTCTTCTTTTCCTTGTCTCCTTCACTGGACAAGCTTGTGGCAGGGTTAGGGCCTGCCAGAGGTGCTTGAGTTCATGGCTGAGGCATCTCTTCCTGGTCTCCTGCAGGAGAAAAAAAACTGATCAGGAGGCCTGAGGCCTAGGCCTAGGTATGTCTGCGATGTGCTGCGTGACCTCAGGCACCTTGCTTCCCCTCTCTGGACTCCAGTCTATTTGGTAAAGTGCAGAGACAGACCTACATTTCCTGTAATGGGGCATACCAAATAATCAGAACATTTCCTGGCTATGAAACACCTAGAAATGCTTGGTAAAATGGAATAAGCGACGTTTTAAACGTATAGCTGAACTAGCAAGACAATAAGGAAGACCCGGCTCTCAGAACCACAGTGACAGCGTGGACAGATGCTGCACAGCTTCAGGTCTCCATGAAGGGAAGTTGCTGGTCCTGGTGACCACAGGCCTTAGGTTTCACTGTCCAAGTAGGACAGAAAAGGAGGCTTTGGGTCTTTCGGGGAATTGCATTGAAACCTCTACCTAAAGTGGCATTCAATTTCACTGCAGTATAAATCAATGACATTTTAGATTAAAAAAGAAAATACCACCTACCAGGTCAGGGAGATGAAAAGAAAGCTTGTCTGCTTTGACCTGAGTTTCAAGTGAAAAAAAAAAATCTCCCTAAGGATTTGTGACCTAAGAATTTATAATGGCAGGTTTGCATTTATATGAGTTCTGAGGTTCAAATTTACATGGCCTGCCTGGTCCTGAAAGCCCCAACATATAAGCTGGCTCTGGGCCATCTGGAGGTAATGGCAGAGGCAGATCAAGATCTCATGAGAGCTGTGCCATCAAGCCAAGTGTAAAAAGTTCCCATAAACAGGTTCTCCCTGAAGATGAGCTTGCAATTCAAAATTATAGAACTCAGGAGGAAATAAGCAACCATGGGGGAGAGTAAGCTGCTGCCTCAGAGAGCGAGATTGAGCCCCCAAGAATTTCAACCAAAAATACTATCAAATAGAGATGAGCACCAGGGGGGCCAACTACTTTCATTTGAAACTCAGGCTTATCCTCACTGCAAGATGATGAATCCTACATCTGCTAATCTGATTATTAAAAAGTCTTTTATAAAGTAATACAGTTGTGCACATTTGCACATGTTGGAGGCCACGCTTGCATGACTGGGGTGGGGGGGGGCAGGCAGGCTGAGAAGTCAGAGCCTGGGAGGCCCGCCCCTACCACTGGCAAAGGTAGGACAGTGCACTATGAGGGTGCAGACTGGGCACCCAGGCTCCTGACTCAGGCACAGCCCCTTCAAGCCAAGGTCCTACCTCAGGGCTCCAGGAGAGCTGATGCATTCATTTAAGACTAGAGCAGAACTCAGAGAAGAGGTGTCAGATCAGAGGCTAAGGCCACAGAAGGGTTTCTGGGAGAGCTCTTTTAGTAATGGGCGCATTTCGCCAAGCAGTATGGAAGCCAATGAGAAACTACAGGTGAATGCAAAGGCCAACCCTGACCACTGTGTGTGGCTCCAAATGACAAACCCAGCTAATTAGGGCTGCTCATACGCTTCTTGTTTTCAGAGAGGATGGGAACCAGGGGATTTGGGTGGGGGAAGAGGGAGGGGGTTAGAGACCCTGCCAACATGCTCTTTAGCTTGTGGATTCAATAATAAGACCATTAACTTAACAGATATTCATTGGTACCTCCTCTGTGCTGTGGTACACAGATAGTCCTGCCCTGTCACCTGGTCATCCAAGTGGCCTTACAGACTGCTCCGTGCTAACTTCTTGGATCTTGGATTTCCTGAGTTCAAACAGCGTAATCCCCACTCTCCTTGCTTGCCTCCTACCTGGATGAAGTCTATAAATGGCTCTTCCCTGCCAGCCCTCCTGCCTGCTCAGCCATTGGCTCTAGGAGACTGTTGTTTTGCTTCAGTTTGCCCATTGGTCAAGGGACAGATGGCTCAGCCACTCAAGCCAGGCTCAGATCTCAAGCCAACTGGGTCTGATGGCATGGATGGCATGGTTAATGTCGAAAAGGCAGTGATAACCCCCTCCCCCCACCAGGCAGACTGTGAAGGCCCATGCTTGACCTTTGCCTGCCACTTCTTTTTCCAGGGGATAAGTTAACAGCATCTCTGTCAAGAGGTGACCAGGTAACCACACATCTTAAATCCCAGTGTCTCCCCAGCAGGGAGCACACAGAGGAACAAGCCCAGTGCACATGCCCCTGCATTGGGATCAGTGGTCAGTCCTGAACAGTTCATCTGTGGCTTCACTTTGGAGGTGTCCTGCCCTGAGTAGCCCTTGGGCTCTCACCTAGTGACTGAGGGATAAGCATGGGGAATAGCTGGCACTAGAAATCGGTCACATTGACACAGCCCCCTCCGGCTGATGCTGCCACCTCTAGCAGCTCCCTGTTGCTAACCTATTGCAGTCTATACCTTCAACTATCCTGTACAGTTTGTTCATTCACTCTACACTTACTGGGTGCCTGCTGTGTGTCAGGATCAAGGCTGTGTGCAGATAGCATGGAGGTGACCCAGATGCAGCCTCCCCCAAGGAACCCTGGTTTGTACCTCCCTTCAGGTCCCTTGCCAGGATGCCAGTCACCCAGCTCTTCCTGTGTCCTGCCTGTCCTCCCTTGCCACATCCCTGGGAGCCTGTGTCCCCAGGGTCAGTCCACCCTAGTGCAGCTGGCTGAGGACCATGACCCCATCCAGCATATCAAGAGGTAGGGCAAAACTGTAGTTGTTTGGAGATGCAGCCCCATCAGGGGCTGGCATGTGGGTGCACAATGCTCCTCAAAGCAACACTAGGAGCAGGTGCCATGTGGGGGAGGAAGCAGTTGAATCCACCACAAGCCCAGGCTACAGAGGGAGTCACAGGCTGCATAGGGCTTGGCTCAGGCCACCAGGACACGGTCTGTCTGCCAAGAGGGTTCCTGCTGCTGGGCAAGGCTGTGGCAGGCAGGGAGAGCTGGGGACACGCTGAACCCCGGAGAGCTGGTGTTGAAGGGAGCACAGAATGTGAGTTGGGATGCGATCTAAGAAACTCTGATGCATTTGGAAGAAATACTAGCAGTTGGTGCTAGATCATTCCAGAAGGCTTGTTCAGCACCAAGGAATCCAATTAGGGAACTGGACTTTTCCACCAGAAGGTCTGGAGAAAACTTGGCAGGAGGGTTCCTTCGTAACATGGGCTTGAGTATTCCTAGAATTTGGGTGGGAGTCCAAGATCAGAGAGAAAGCAAAGCAGCAGTGTAACTCCATGGCACAGTGAAGGAACACGGTAGGATTTCAGACTTGCAAATCTACTTTTAATGCATGAGCTGAGAGGATATAGAATTTTCCAGAATGGAGTCACCTAGTGCAGAATCTGGCACATCATGGACACCCCTTCCAGGTTTGTTGAAGGAAAGCTGTATGGCTAGGTGACTGGACAGTTTCCCCAAAGTGAGCTTCAGCCAAGCAGAAACTCTGACAGTCCCCTCAGGGACCACGGCTCTGGTGCCTGCTTACCCTCAGGAACCTGACTCCATTGCACCTCATCCAGGCAGTTTGCCTTCTCTGATTTGAAATCAGCCCTTCTGGAGTATATTTACACCTGTTTTAGCACCTGAAGCCATTATTTTCCCTTGTGACCAGCACCAACAGCCCTAGGCACCATTTCTCACCAGAAACCCATTTCCTTCCCTGCAGGGAGGACCGTCACATACCGCGGGTGCTTCAGGCTGCCAGAGAACACCACGCACACCTTCCCCGATGCCCTGATACAGGCCAACGTGACAGTGGAGGTGTGCTCCAGGTTTTGTTCCCAGAAGGTAAGGCCACTACAATGTCACAACCCTCTCTTAACAGCCCACATGTGCGGCGGTCTCCCAGAGGGGTGGGGGCCATGCTAGGCTGCAGATGTCCATTCTGGGAGCCAGGTGGGGGCTGAGAAAGGCCTGGAGGGCCCCAGGCCATGCTGCAGACTGCACCATGGGTGCCGACAGGGAGCCAGTTGCTAAGGCCAGTCATCCGAGGCCAGGTAGGGAATTGTCAGCAGAGGTTGTAAAGCTGAGAAGATGATGCTTTTCCCAATGTGAGCTCTTGAAACAAGTGTCAGATGTTCACCTGACTTGGTATGGAAGCATGAAGATGCTGGCTCAGGATCTGGGGAGAGCTGGTGGATTTTCTGTGATTTGCTGTGACTCTTGGGCCATGCATCTGACTTCTCCTTTGGATCAGCCTGGGCCGAGGGTGGAGTGTAACAGTGTTGGGCGCCAAGGGCCACTGTCCATGTGTCCTGTTTCATTCTGGAAAAAGTTGGTCAAGTCCCCAAAGGCAGACTCGGGAGTGTTAAGTGATGCTGGCAAGACCCAGCTATCTGTGCAGAGTATTGAGATCCTGGGTCGGAGTCCGGTGGTCTCCAGGCTGGGCTGCACACTCTGGCTGTCGAGCTGGCCCTAGGTGCTGGGGCTTGGGGCTGCTCCACATGTGCTGGGGGCCAGTAGCTTTGGTGGGACTGTGGTACTTGGCAGTTTAGTGCATGAGGCTGGAAGAGAGAGTGATGATGGTGACGATGACAGCGACACTCATTCTCAATAGCAGCTAACATTTATCGGTCTTTTTCTTTTATGTTGGGTATTGTTTCAAGCATTTTACACATGTTAACTCACTTAATCCCCAGAATAACCCAACAGGATAGGTGTGATCACCTGCACTGTGCAGGTGAGGAATCTGAAGCAGGGTTTGAGCATCCTGCTTGAGGTGACACAGCCAGTGTGTGGGGAGCCAGGATTTGAATTCACTCCAGCTCCATAGCCTGCTGGTGGTTTGAAGGGCACAATAGGTTGGCTTCAGTGAAAGCAGATGTGCTGGGCCGCACGCCTACCCTAGAGTTGCTCTCCCACTGCCTCCCTGGAAAGGCAGGTGGAGAACAAAGCCTTTCCTGAGTGCTTTCCTCTTGTGCAAGCACAACCTTTGAAGCAACTCTCTTGCATCACCAGCATTTCCGAAGCCACTACCAACCACGTGTTGGGTATCAGGGCTCACAAGACACAATGTAGCCTGCCAGGAAGACAGTTTGTGATTCACAGGCATCTGGCCTGAGGACCCCTCTCTTTCCCCATTGTGGGAACAGCAGGACACCACTCAGCTGTCTGCCCTGCTTGCTCAGGCATGGAAACAAGTGACTTGGGGCTTCTTCCATGCAGTTCAGAGCAGTCCCCTGCAGAGGCCCCCAGCACAGGCTGCAGGCAGGCTGCCACCCCCCCAGTGCTGGGCACTCTGCAAAGGGTCTTTGCTCTGGCAATCTGCTTTGATCCTCCCAGTGCTTCATAGGGGGCCGTGTTCTGATGCTGAAGCTTCCCAGAAGTGAGAGCACTGACACAAAGTGACTGGCTTTAACAACCAACTCCTGACACCACACCCTGTGCTTTTTATCCTGCTGGTTGCTGTGGCATGGGGGGATGGGTGAGTGGGGCAGGGAGGAGGCGGGCCAGGTGGGCAGTGTGTCCTCAGCTTAATTCTTTTTAAAGAGATAATATGCACACATGGACTATAATAAAAAGACTCCAAATGGAGAGGGGCAAGTCTTTCTTTCCTCCCTGTATCTCCTACCCAGTATCCTTCCTTGGGGGCAATGGATAGCTCCAACTTCCCTGTCCACTGTCAGATTCTGTGAATGTTCGGTGAATTCTGTGAATATTCAAGCAGTTGCTCCTTTGCAGACACCACAGAGAGTGATGAGTGCACAGACTGCCCTGCCTGGACAGATTGTTCCATATCGGCATAGGAACTGCATTCCGTTGTCCTATAATTTATTTAACCAGTTCCTGCTGTTAAGCATTTAGGTTGTTTCCAGTCTTCTGCTTTTACAAACAACACCATTTGGATGATCATCCTTCCAGGGGTCACTTTGTGTTGGCGGATTTGCAAGATGAAATTCCTAGGTCAGAAGCTGTGTGTCTTTCTCTTTTTGGTAAATGTTGTCAACTTGTCCTTGGCAAGGTGACCTGAAAGTTACACCCCCGCAGGAGATGTGAAGCGTGGGATGAAAACAAGGCACCCTGTGACTCCTCTTTTGGGGAGGGTGGCTCAAGCCAGCATCCTTGGTAGATGCCCTGGTATTCTGGAGGGAGCTCCTCTCGGGCAGCTGGTCAGGGCCCAGAGAATTAAGCCTTGTGGTTATAGGCTGATAATTTAAACATGTGAAAGTCTTCAGTGTCTGTCTTCAACCTTCTTCATATAAAGGGGCCCAAATACGGGTCACTACACTTTCACACTGGAACGTGTGCCAAAAACTACCTGGTGTCTCATGCCATTTTGCACCTAACGCCCATATGCCTCCTCTTGCCACATGTTTCAGGAGACGCTGCCTGCTTAGCTCTGGCTTGTGCTGTTGTGAGTTGCCCAGGTCAGGATGACATTGAAAAGGCACCCAGGGCCACCAGAAACAGCCCTGCCCTCGACACTCTCAAGCATCTGTGTGCAAAGATTGTCTCTCATCCGGCCTCCCTTGTATTGTCGGATGGGGCTGGGTGGGTGGGTGTTTCCTCCAATCCATTGTTTAGATTCCCAGAATTTTGCAGCTGTGAGGAGCAGAGTCATCATTTCCAGCTTTAAAGTTGAAAGCGGGTCTTAGCAAGACATATGTCGTGGGATGTGGCCAGACACCTACACCAACATTGAGGGGGGCGGTGGCCAGCAGGGGCCAGCTGTGGGGGACGCCCAGCCCCCACTCATGAGGTCCAGCTCACAACTGAGCCCTGGGGCCCAGGTGACTCTGACTCGTGACAGAGCAGTCAGCTTGATGGGGATGAAGGAGGCTTGGAGGGAGGTTTAAAAGGAGAAGCATTATAGCCATTTGGGCACATCGGTGCTGGAGGGCATGGGGCACTGTCGGCTGGCAGGTGTGGGGTGAGGAGCATATTCATTACAGAAAGCGGTAACTGCTGAGCAGGCACCGGGTGGTAGGAAAGCAGCTCAGCTTGCCCAGGGGAGGGCTGCGTGGCATGATATGACACTTAGGAAGGGGTCACATTGCACATGGCCCTGAATGCTCTCGGGCCTTAGCTACAAGCTTGCCTGGTTCTTGATGGCGGCAGATGAGAAAACAGGTCATGAAGCCCATACTCGGGAAGCAGGAACAAGTCTTTATTACAGTCACAGGGAGCAACAGCAGCAGCGTCCAGCAATGGCAGCACCCCGGGTCCCGGCTGCAGCAGTGACCCTGTGCGCTACAAATGGCACCCTCCAGAGGATCCCTATTAGCTTTTATATGATTTATAAACAAAGCTGTCACAGGGCCAAGGTTAAACCTAGTTTATCATGCATGCAAACTGTACATAAAGGTTACATATTATTTTTTTTTAAAGATTATTTATGTATGCAAGAGCTGGGGTACAGGCCAGAGGTATGGGGGGTAAGAGGATTCACCAGAAATAGAGTAGGGAACAGAACAGGCAGACTGACTGAAGTACACTGCTGAGGGGAGCAGCGGGTGAGACAGGAGAGGTCTGCTGTGCCATGTGGGTAGCTCCCTGACCGGGGATCAAACTCGTGCTTCAGTGGCTGTGGACAGCTTCATAGTTTTGTGTCTTATGTACGCCACCAGGTACTGCTCTCCGCACATGAGGACTACATCTCTAGGCCACATGTTATCTATTAGGTCACCTGTGCTGGAAGGTCACAGTGAAAAACAGTCAGAGATATTGTGAGAAAACTGATAAAACTGTTTTCCCATCAGCTCTACAAATGCCTACCTCTAAGTACAGATCTTTCTCAGTGGGTAAGAAGGAGCCATTGATGGTGTGGCAGGGAGGTGATCTGGCACTTCATAGCTGTGGTAGGATGCTCTGCATGGGGGTGGGGTGTTCTCTGTGGATCCCTCTCGGAGTCAGTTGCCCTCAGAGATGCCTTGGCAAAGCTGTAACAGAAGTTGACCTGTGACTTGACTGTGGAGTTAGGGAATCCAGGTAGGGCAAAGATGATGCCCCAGATGTCGTGCATCCAAGTGGAACCCCCGTTTCACCCAACAGTGCACCTCTGTGCCCCAGGCTATCTGTGCCCTCTCCCTCTCTTGCCCTGGGGATATCGGTGTGGCTTGGACTCACGCCTCTGTCGCCATCAGCTGTCAGCTCTGCAGTTCCTGCTGGGGACCTCCTTGGAATTCTGACTTCCCTGGAGAGAAAGATTTCTCCACCTGGCAACGACTGACATTTCGGGTGGGATGATTCTTTGCTTTAGGACCTGTCTGTGCACTGTGGGATATTTAGCAGCATCCTTAGCCTGTCCCTAATACCCAGATGTGTGAAGACCTAGATGGTTGCAGAACAGGCCAGCTGCCCCTCCAGGATAGAAGCAGGCCCACGGAGAACCCGTGCCCTAAGGGCTCGCTTCAGTGTGTTGACTTGGCAATGCCCAGGCCTGGCTCACACGCCCCACAGGTCTGGATACTGGTGAACTTTTCCTGCTCTTTGGTGAGAATGAAGTGAATTCTGCCTCCAGATCTGATGTCCACCTCAGACACCAGATCAAATGGAACTTCAGCTGACCCAGGCCATGTTGTTCAGGGACCTGTGCAAGGTGGTTTTTGTCTCTGCCTCCTGAGCGTTGAGTGTGGGTAAGAGATGAATCGGGGGATGGCTGTACTTTCCTCTCTGAGATGCCACACGTGTCCACTCTGGAAAGGCTGTGGCACTGAGGCTGCAGGGCTGCAGTTTGGCTGAAACACAAGCCCGAGTGTCCTGTGACGTGAGCAGGTTACTTATGCCAGGGACTTGCAGTGGCCTATGATACAGTCATTGATGTTTTCTAAGATCTTTATGACGAGACA